GGTTGATCCACTAGCTAGTATCCTATGGTTGCAAAATAGTTCAAGAACTAGGAGATGTATTAGAGACCCATAGTTCTACATTACATGGAAGACTCTATGTCATGAGATTCATTGTCAACTTACCTTTCAACTATGGAAGAAAGACCTCTCATATCTAGGTCACTCAGTGGTGAGCTAAAGTCCCTTTTTGATTAACCTTTAAGTCATCATTTATTCTGAAATATTATCATAAGTCATAGGAGATTAACTCCTTGCAAAAACATAATCGTAATCTCTTTAGGATTAGATGAGAATTTCCTTTAATCATAGCCATTCATTTATGATATTAACATATCGTAAATCATCTTGTGTAAAGCATACAAGAGAATATCATAAACTTGAATAATCCTATTCTTATCATTATCTCGCAAATTAACATATTCCTAGCCTAAAATATATGCATAGCAGCATCAAACATACTTCATTATCATTGTAATATCATTTATAGACTAATATAAACATCATAGAATAATCAAGACTTTAGAATACTTACCTCTTACTTCAGAGATCCTTATTGAAGAACTTATATTCAATGTACAACAACCATCGAACAACATAGTAAAATACTGGATAGCATAATCAGTACTAACTCTTCAACTCATAATCATGTCTAATTTGTAAACTAGAATAAGGGAAAGGGTCATTTAGGAGTTCATTAAAGTTATAGTCCCACTCCAAAAAATTACATGTTATTAAGTAGGAGGTATACCCCATTTGAAACCATCAATTTGATAGCGGACATTCTTCACACTAAATTCAACCATTACAAGTCAAACATTCGACAAAATATACTAAATCAACCATAGAAACCCATTATTTTCATTGATAGTCATAAACTTAGAGTTAGGGAGAAAACCCATTTTGTAGAGTAAAAACCCTAGGATTTGAATTTCTTAAAAACTATACTTGAAAGGACCTCTTATGGATAGTAATACGATGAGTTAACAACACATACCTAATTGACGAACAATCTATGATTTTTGGAAGAAAACCTTGAAGTCTTCGTCTTCTTCCCAATGCTCTTCTTGTTCTTCAATGGAGATTACAAAAGAGAGCGTTCTTGAGAGAAATAAGAAAATTCGTTTGATTTTGTTTAAGTGTGTAAAAAGTTTTCTAAAACTTACCTATAATCAATATATAGTCGTCCTATAATAAAATACATAAAAGACCCTTCACTTAAATTGGTCTTTTTGTGAAGTTAAATTACCAAAATACGACTCTAAAAATGGGTCCAATTCCCCTTTTTTCAAAATTTTGGGTCGAGGTAGTCTGCCTCATGAAAGCCTCGCATCGTGAGGCTACCTCAAAATTCTTGAGGCAGTGAACTTCATGTCGGCTGCACGTTGCGCAGAAGCCCCTTGGTTCTTGCTTGCGAACGCTGCTTTGGCAGCCTGCCTACCCATGTTGAGTCCTCCCCAAGGACCCTTGTTGTGGTCCTTAGGGTGTTCTTACCAGACCTTTGGGCCCTTTTTACGACATACTACCTATCCAAAATCTTTTGAATAGTTTTAGACTTCATTTGACACTTCAAACCCTTCACCAAACATATAGACGTCAACTAGTTCAATTTAGCTAGTTTCCGAACGTCAATGTTGTTTTTTAATTTTTTGTCTCTAACCTTTTCTGAATGAACTTATTACATTAATATATGTCCGTAAATTTTATTTTAAACATAAGTCAATAGTCTAAGGTTTAGTCCAAGTCATGAACTTCTTCTGGATTGTTACATTATCCCCCCCCCCCCTTAGGAACATTCATCCCCGAATGACACTAAAATCTTTTGGAGTGTAAGGATAGACTAAATATTAGCAGCTTAACCAACAACCACATAAAATCATAATGAGTCACAACTAATAGGAGTACTTCACCACTTCTTTCCACACACATCACAACATTACATATTGCACTCAATTCATGACGCACAATATATAAGAGCTTAATATTCATAACACATTGTGAGGAAGTTCTTTATCAACATTATCATGAGCTCAAAATACATCAAGGATTTACCATGCTATCATTCATCTCAATACAAAAATAAGACAACAAAATATCAAGAAGACAGCATGCATGCATATTTCATATAAGTGCAAGAATAGACTATGAAAGAATTTTCTTAAACTTAAATTGGTGTAAAAGATATGCGCCTATTTAGGAAAACAAGTCAGTTTCATATTATTCAATTTTTTCTTTACTAGGAGGAATTTCTATCATAAAGGAGTAAAAATTTGAGGGTAGCGGGAATTCATGTCGGCTTCAGCCTCCCAAACTGCACCCTTGAGAAGATGGTTCCTCCATAAAACCTTTACAGAAGCAACAGCTTGGTTCTCAACTTGTTGACTTTGAAATCTAAGATGTCAACTGGAAACTCTTTATAGGATAGGTTATCATCCACCCCTAAACCTTGCATAGGAAGAATAGACACCTGGTCGCCTATGAATTTTTTGAGCATAGAAAAATGAAATACCGGATGAATTGAAGCTAGTTCTTCAGGTAGTTTCAGCTTATAGGCAACTTTTCCAACATGTTGTAAAAACTCTTAATGACCAAGATAACAGGGACTTAACTTCCCATTTCTAACGAATCTCATCATCCCTTTCATACGTGAAATCTTTTTAGAGATATGATCACCTATTTCAAATTCAAAGTCTTTTTTTCTATTGTTGGCATAAGACATTTGCCGACTCTAGCCTATCTTCAGTCTATCTCTTATGATTTGAACTTTTTCGATAGACACATAGGTAAGCTCGGGACCAAGGACTAAGGACACACCAACCTCAAACCATCAAACAGGAGACCTAAACCCTATCATAAAGATCTTCAAAAGGTGCTTTGATGATACTCGAATTGTAACTATTGATGTTGGAGAATTCAATCAAAGGTACATGATAATTACAACTCTCTTTAAAATTAATAACACAGGATCATAACCTATCCTCGAGGGTCTAAATGGTACGTTCTACTTTGCCATCCGTCTGAGGATGATCAGCGGTGTTAAGTTTCACTTGACTACCGAAACACTTGTGAAAATCATTCCCACAACGAGAAGTTAATTGGGCACCTCCAACCAAAAAATGGTCAAAAGAATCCCATGAAGTCTTACAATCTCATTAATGTATACTCTTGCATAATCCTCGGTGGTATAAGTAGATTAATGGGAATAAATTGAGCAGATTTGGTAAACCTTTCCACAATAACCCATATTGAATCATTTTGCCTCTAGGTTCGGGGCAAACCAACAACAAAGTCCATATTGATGGCTTCCAACTTCTATGTAGGAACATACATGTTTTGGGTTAAACCACGTGGTTTTAGATGCTCATTTATATCTTGTTAGCAATTGGGATACTTAGGAACAAACTCTGCTATGTCACATTTTTAAACCATCCAACTAATAGACCTATCTAAGGCCATGATACATTTTGGTGGTACCTGAATGTATACAATAACGAGAACCATGGGCTTCTTCTAGAATTTGATTTCTCAAATCCTCAACAGTCGGTACACATAATATCCCTTGGTAGCTAAGAACACAATCCTCCCTTTGGGAGAATGACTCATTGAGCGTATTAAGTACCAGTTTTCCTTCAACTTCATAAATAGAGGATCAAGGTGTTGCTTAGACTTCACCTCAACCATTAATAATGAGTCAGAGTTATCCTTGACCATAAAACCACCATTTGGAGAATCTAATAACTTCAACTTCACACCTACATGAGCCAACCTATGAACATCTTTCGCAAGTTCTTTCTTCTATTTTGCCACATGATACATACTACGCATAGTCATAGGACTCAAAGAATCCGCTAATACATTGACCTTGCCAGGGTGGTTAAGGAAACTCATGTTTTAATCCTTCAACAATTCTATCCATCTTCTCTGTCGGAGATTAAACTCCTTTTGTGTAAACATATATTGAAGACTTTTATTGTCAGTAAACACATCAACATGCACACAATACATGTAGTGTCTCCATATTTTCAGGCAAAAAATTTACACTCTAACTCAAGAATATGAGTGGGATAATTCTTCTTTTGAAACTTGAGTTTCCTAGAGGCATAAGCTTTCACCTAGACATATTGCATGAGCACACATCCCTATCCCACATGGGAAGAATCAAAATACATTAGAAAGACTTCATTACCTTCCGGTAAGGTCAACAATGGTGCATAGGTTAGCTTATCTTTCAAATATTGAAAACCTTTTTTACAATATAACAACCACTGAAACATCACCTTATTTTGGGTCAAGGCTGTTAAAGGAGACAGAAAGGACGAAAATCTATCAGCAAACTTTCTATAATACCCGACTGTACCGTAGAAACTTCTTATGTCTTTTGTGTTGACACACAATTTGACCTTCCTCGATACTAATTGATTAACCAGCTTATTAATCCCAAACGTTTTGAGATAATTGGTTCCATTAAGGCTTAAAGGCTTTTGAAGTTACTCCAAATAAATTTGATCGTTTTCACAATTATTAAATATTACGTACGATTTACATAAGTATATATATGGCTATTGTGTGTTATGTTTATTCAAAATTCGTCTTTAATTTTTTTATTTTGTTTAAATATTTATTTATTCATTTAGTTATACAATGGTTTACATTCAAATTAATTATTTTATGACTACGTCGACTATTTTATTTTGTTAAAATTAAAAAGCTTGTTAATTAATTATATTAATTTATCTTTAACTTTAGTCAATTTAGCCAATATTTTGCTAGATGAGCTTTTAGATGAATTTGGACCCTTTGTTTTTCAGGAGCCCATCCCAGACTTTCAGTAATTCCTAGCCCATGCCATTTCAATTTACAGCAACGGCCCAACCCACCTCTCTATCAGCCAACCTCTGAATCTAGTAACCCATTCTCAGGATACCCGACCCAAACATCTGACCCATCTACTGTGTCATATTATCTTTCACGCGTAAAGTGAAGCTTTCCAACAGCGTGGCACATTCCTTCCGCTCTCCCTTATACTATCATACGAAAATTGCACTCAAAGGCCCCAAGTGTCGAAATCTCCCTTTCCCTCTCGTTCTTCCCCTCAAATAGGACGTCTCCCCTCGATTTTCTGTGAGGATCTTACAAAGATAGAGCTGGCAGCTTATCCTCAAGAGGGATTTGAATTTTGAAATCAAAACCCATCCGTTTTCCGCCCAAAGTTTTTATGCCCATTTTTCTCTCCTATAAATAACAGTGAGAGAAAAGGGGAACTTTTTTTTCTTTAGCTTGAAAAAATATTACAAAAAGTAGAAAGATTTTGAGTCAATTGTTGTTAGCAAGAACTTAAGATAAAAGGAATTACTATGTTATAATATTCATATAAGAAACATACGATAAATTTTTTTTGTTGTTATCGGCTACCAAATTTGTTGGATTTCTTAAGCATGAAGGTAGATATTGAAGTCGCTCCAAGCTCATTCCCTTCTCCGGTTCACTATCCGAAGAAGGTACCACTCTTTTCTCGATAACATACTTTCCTTTTCTCCTCCGTTTTCTTTGTGAAATAACACTTTGTTGCTGGAAATTTGCTACTGTTTGTTCATCTATTTAATGTTAATTCAATAGAAATATTGGTATGACTTATATGTTATTGTTGATTCATTTAAGTAGATATGGTATCTGGTTAGACTTGGAGAAGGCTTTGTGGTATTATCTAAGGCGATATTTTGTTGTTCTTCCTTCTTGAGCATTTTTTTCTTATAGTCAAATATACATCGGTTTTCAGCATTCGGCGTCTTATCATTCATTCTTTCACCACACGTAGAAAGAAAGGATTAAGATATCCAAATTTGAAGTTTATTTGTGAGATTAGTGATTGTTTGAAGTTCATGTGTTGCGTTCTTGACTCATCTAACGATTTTGTTGTTCCAAGATGATATCAAATCCGGCTTCTAGAGTAAGTACATTATTGATATAGTCAGACATTATGGTACGGTCTTATATCAAAAAGTTTACGGCATTTGAAGGTCGATTTTATGTCGTTTAGGTCTTGATTATATACCCATTTATTCAAACATTTGTTTTAAATCTCATGGTATACCCTCGTTGCCTTACTATGTTTTCTTTCTTACTGAGTCTGTAGAAAGTGCTAAAAAAATAACAAAAGGGATAGTGTCATACTTGTGTGTGTATGTTTTCTGCCATGCACATATGGTTGCCTAATGACATTGATTTTTTTCTTGAACAGGTCTGCATTTTTTTTGTTCTTGTTTATTTTCAAAGCTCATTAGTCGTGTTTCGGGTAGCTTTCAAGTTGCTCTTTTCGTGGTTGTTATGCAAGCTCTTGATTTCGGGATGAATTTTCTTGCAAGATGCTCGTTTCTTTATTTGTGTGCGGATAACACATCCCATTTGAGCATGTTTTTCTGTTCTAAAAGTTTATCTCCGTCAACCTTGTTGTTCCGTATGATATGAAGGAGTTTTGATTATTCATTCTTAACCGGTAGCACTTGTTTAGGTGTTCTCTTTGTTATTAGAGACAATGTATTTGGAGATTTCTTCTAAATGCTAAAGCAGTAGCTTAAGTATTCATTACTTTGTCATTGGCATGACTTAGGCTCTGACATTTCGTAGTTCATATTGTCGCATGATTTGGCTTAAAAAAAGTATTTTCGTATATTAGTCTGTTTGCTGCTCTGGTCTTTGTTTTAATTTTAGAAGTATCTTTGCTTTGTTATTTTCGGGATGCTAATTCCTTATCCCTTTCATTTTTCCATATCTAACATCAACTCGAGCCGATATTGGAGTCTATCCTTGCATTCCTCCGAGTAAAACTTTTTGAGACATCCTCATTTTGTTCAAGTGAAAGGGGAGAAATTACAGGGGAAATGACTGATTTATGTGCCTTGGAATATTCAAAAATGGACTCTATGCATGTGAATATACAATGTGATACATTCATATACTGATTGTATATGCCGATATAAAGTCGGGATATACTGCATACCGGTGCAAAATCACAGAAAATACTGGTGGAAGTGCAGGAATATGTAATCAAAATAAAAATATAGGTTCCAAAAGTCAAGAACTGATCGGATATATACCATATACGATAGTATACAATCAGTGTATACGCTGGCTGTTACACATAAAATAGGCCAAGGACTTAAAGAAATTTCCTGCAGGTCCATTAGTAGGAATTTGGGCCAAAGGTCCAAAATTTGACATCTCCTTTTTTCCTTGCTATTTATTATTATATATTGACTAACATTATTTGATTAATTTTGGTTAATTTAACTATATTCCCAAAATAGTAATTTCCCTTATATTCAATTTTTTTTAATCTATTTTGTATATGTTTTTTACTTAGATTTTATTTCAATATATTGGTCTTGTTGCCACATCTTAATTATTTTCATTTTTTTTTGCAAATTCTCTATTTCATTTTTCCCTCAATATAACATAATAGTTAAATTATGCAAATGAATAAATAATTTTTCTTTTACTTTACTTTAAAATTTTGAAAAGTTGTTTGAAAGTTAATTTAGTCAAATCGCCTCAACCGCAAGTTAGCGGGCATTCCGAGGGCCTAACCCCTTCTCTGAATGTACATTTGAATTTCGAACCTTTTACAAATGATTTTTATCTGTTTTAAATCTTTTGAAAAATAATATTTTCTTTGTTTTACTAAAAAATCAAGTGGCAACTATGTCAATTCGGAAAATTAATTTCTCTTAAATCATAAGTTTAATTGATTTTTTTCAAAATTCAGTCATTTTTTACTATCATATATTTTTAAGTAAAACAGAAATGGAGATTCCGCTAGGGATTAATGAAGTTCTAACCAAGATGATTTGAATATTTGAACTAAATTTTATTATTAAACTGTTTATATATGATTAAATTATAAACTGGCATTGCATATCATGGCATATTTCCGATGTATATGTATTGTATTTTACAGGACAGTTTGCGGAACCGCAGCCGGACTTTTTTATCCTCAACCTCTTTCAAAATTAGCGACAATTTATTGGTTCGTTAGGCATAAATGGTTGCCGCCAGTTTCAGCTTAAGTTGTCCGTTTGGGTTCCCAGTTCTTTCAAAAGTCACTCTTAGTAAACTAGTTAGAGCTGAGCCAAATCCCAAATTTAGGAGCATTTGAACTATGATGACCCAACGTCCAAGGCGTGTTGGGCCCATTAGAAGCCCACCTTGCATCTACTTGGCCAAAATTGACAAAAAAAAGACAATCATGATTACGTGTTGATTGAAGGATGTATATGCTTTTTAAAAACAATTTATTGTCTACGGGGTGGGGGTTCACTAATTTCTTGTTTGCTATTTTTGAAGGATGAATCCGAAACATAAGCCTTTAAAACAAGAATTGTTACTATCCTCGATTCTTTCCTCAAAGAATGGTGGAATTTAATGAACAACGACGACAAAATGGTCATTCAAAAACACATAGGTTACCTTCCGTCGCTGCTAGAGATGAATGCTTGGCCTTTCCTAATTGGGATGATGGTGAAATTCTAGGATAGTGAGAATATGGTCTTTCGGTTCGGGGAAGTGGAGTTGATGTAAAATATAGAAAAAATTCTTATCATTTATGAAACTGTCGCTATATGCAACAGAAGGAAACGACATCCAGATATAGATCTCCTTAATCTCATAATTTGGGATTTCGCCAGAATTAGAGAAAAGTTGTCATTGGTTAAAGCCGAGTGGATGGACAAGCTCCCTTGACCAAATATACCCGTCAGAAAACTATATTATCGATTTAGGCATGCAAGGGCTTATGAGAAATATAAAGACGAGTTCGTTTCAAAATAATAATGGAAAGAGACGCGTCCCCTCGCATTTGCGATATGTTTGCTTGGAACGATGGGTTTTCCCTCAAGGGAAAAAATACGTTATTCATCCTAGTGTAGTTATGGTCACTCATGCCATTTTCTATGGAGTGGAGTACAAAACATCAATGCAGTACTACATTTTAGCGCCTATGATTCTGGCCGACATCTACAGGGCTTTAGAAAAGTGTTAGAACGGAGAATGTTTTTTTCAAGGGTGTAATCTGATACTGTAGTGGTGGGTGATACTACATTTAATCAAGACTCATAATCCATAAGAACCAGATCCCCTAAGACAGACAGACGAGCTACATGGTCATGATTGGTGGTTGTATCACAATTGTTGCAACAAGACTTGAGTAGAGAGTTTTTGGTATTCGATACTTCGAGGGCTGATAGAAGAAGACGTACAATGGTCAATAGATAGTTTGGTGGTAATTTAGAATGTGGTGGTTCAAACAAAAAAAAGGTCCCTTATTTGGTATTTTCTGGATTAAGAGGGACCTAGACCATATGCTCCGTGTCGAGTTTTGAGAAAACTAGGAGGGAAACAAGAGTTGCCCCAGATCGCAGATATGAGAAAATTTGCATCTGACCACGAGAATTGATTAGTTGCATTTGCTGAAGACATGCGTAGGATGTGGAGATCTCGAAGAGTGTTGGGTGACCCATGCCAAACAGGTGTCATCCAGAATGTTCGAGGGAGTACAAAGAATTGTTGAAAAAGAGTCTCGCTAGAACTATTGAACCTTGTCAAACGTTCCTCACTTTATTACCGATGTTGGAGCCAAACATCAAGTCCGCCTTCACCGCCTTCAAGATAAGTTTGATAGGAATGAATTAGAGCATCAACGTCGTCACTCAGAAGATGCCAAAGTCATAGCTCGATTAAAACAAGAACTACGAAGAGCCTGACAGTTCATGGCAGTGTTAGATGATAGCATGGAAAAACAAATTCAATCGATAGAGAGGTTCAGACATCAATAAGGAGCTCGATTGGCGAGAGACCATATCTTGGAGAACAAATATGCTATGTGGGAAGAGGTGAACATCGCCAAGAGGACCATACTTGGTGATGTATCAGAGGAGGCTTGAGTTTTATTTACCATCCCCTACGTGGGAATGCTTTATTTGTACTTTGTTTTGTAATTAATTTTCAAAACCATTTCCCTTTTCTATGTTTATCAGACATTTTAGATGCTATTAATGAAGTATTTTGGGGATGATAAATCAGGATTAAAAGGCAATACATCCTTCGATTTGTTAGGCCTACCCTTGACATAAGAGGGTTAGAAGCATGTTCAGGAAGCGATATGTGTGTTTAACTGCTTATGTGTTGTGTTGCTCTGAATGAGGATACCGTAAATCCACTCCTGTCCAAAATTTCCAAAAGAATACACAGAAGCCACCGTTACAAAATGTTTGATCAAAATTTTTGAGTCTCAAGTTTCTCAGTCAAAAGACACCTCCTATTCCACAAATCCTAAAACATTGTTCAACAATCTCAGGAAATGAAAATTATTGCTATGGAAAAGGGTAAGAACATCGGGATGGAACTCACTTAAGAAGAATTACAGAGAAATATCAAATGGATCACTGGGGAAATTCAAGAAGCCAAGGAAGAAGGGCTCAGAGTTGACATGGCCACCGCAATTTACAAAGCTGCAGTTGTGACGTTGGATGAGGATCTGACATCACAGATAAAAAGAAATAAAGATGTTGAGATGGATAAAGAGGGCTTGAGAGAGAAGTTGTACATGCTTCGGTTCAAAGTGCAAGAAAGAGAAGCGAGAAAGGCGAGGATAGATTCGGAGACCGCCGCCATATTAGCTAAAAGTTTTTCACTTGACAAGGAACTTACAGAGGAAGTGGAAGAAGTTGCCTCCATGAAATAAGGGATGGCTGCACTGAAGTGGAAGAACAAAGCCTTTCATAGTAACCTGATGGGCGAAAATACCCCACCTATGAGCAAGGAGCAGCCAATAGTGGTGTCGACAGCGCACACTCAGAAGTGAATGAGGAGGACGACGGCGAGGAAATCATCTACAAACCTCCATTCCTAGGTCATCCGAAAGGAGAAGACTAATGCTGCAACAAGAAGGGAAAGGACTGACGTTTCGTCATCATTTCATCTTTTAAAAGAATAATCTAGTGTTGCCTTCAAAGTTCCTTGTATTCGTAATGAATGAATAAATGAAAATATTTGCTTTGTACTCCAATTACGTAGTAGCTGAATTCTCGTTGTGAGATACATATGCAGCCTTCCAAGTCCCAGCCCCTATCTTTAAAAATATTCATTCGCCCCTCCATTTTACTAGAAGATACGAAGACCGGATCAACACATGTTAAATGTAAGAAGACCGTAGCTCAACATGATTTAAACTTTCTGAGACAACGTCAAAAACTGAAACAAGCAAACTCATGTTTCTTAAAAAATGTGTTTCTGTCCTCACTCCTGGGTTGAAGATATCCTCAAACGAAGGAACTTGTGTGTTTATTTGCTGTCTTTGTGATATTATGCATTTTGTACTCTGAATCTGCACTAACAAATCTGCATTTCAGTTGTTTTCCTTCTCAGATACTTAGAAACTGATTTGTGTCAATCAAAATGCTGGCAGATCATCCTCATTTAATCAGATCAAAAGGTCCCGCATATTCCTTCCCTAGATAAAGCTCAGACAGAGGAAAGGCAGTTATGGGGGATAATAATGAAGAAGTGAGTCTTACTGATGTTGTGGTG